GCCACTGACATCGATTAGCCGCCATTTCTTGAAACGTCTCCAGCCAAGCACAGGCGGGGTCACGGGGATCCCATCCTGGAAGGCGTACAACACCGACAACACAACAACACTCTTCGTGATCTCTTTGACGCCTTTCTGCCAAGTCATGTGCGGTTTGCGCCATCCAGAAGAAGGCACGGAGAACAACACTCGTCTCAGTAGACGGTGTTTTGGCATGCGTAGCACATGACCTAGCCATCGCAGTCGATGATGCTGGATGTTTTCCCGGATTGAGGTGCCTGCTGACATTAGCGCCAAAATGAGGACTGAGCATGAGAATCCTTTGTCTGGTCCCAGATTTGACCAACCAAAACAGGCAGATCGAAAATCAGGCTTCGCGAAAACAAACGAGTCCACCGGAACACAGTCTTGAAGCGAGTTCACCGATTCATTCTATGAATGCACTTTTAACCCTAACATCCCATCGGCGTACGACTGTATCAGGCGTCCAGCTACGATTTTTCCAAGTAGACGGCACTACTAGCGAACAGCACGAAATTTGGAGGCGCCGTATACGAGTCAGACTCAGGTCGAGTACAAGACCAGAAAGTCAACCTGTTTTTTTTCATCATAGATTCTTTTAGTATAGAGTTTACAGTGGTACACTGCGAAGTACGTAGGAGGTATACAATTGCTCATATGTATTCCCAGCCATAGCCAGGTGGTGTTTTCTACACATGAAAGCAGAGAAGTTCTCCAAACCTCATTTTGCGCACACTGCCCACTGTTAGCGACGCATCCTGAAATTGGCTATACAGCCACGTAACCAGGAGCTCTAACAACAGACATCCATAATTTATAGACTGTATGCTATGGAGAGTCATAGCCTGAGATAAAACGGGGAATAACAGCATGAGAACTGCATCCTGTGGGAGCCAGTAAGTGACTTACTCGGTGGAAAACATGTTGCGAATTTTTAGGCATTCGGTTGGCGGGACGATGAACGGGGGTTTCTGTGACTTGTCCGAGAGCGCTTCAACATGGGAACAAATTGGAACCAGAGATGAACGATAATGGACACCAGGCAGAAAGAGTAACAATCGAACACAAATAGTAAAATTCAGTAAGCTAAATTACTGACCGGTGATGCGGTTCCGTTTTCTAACAAGAACCTATACATAGGTTGACCGTATTTCTGAGGTATGCTTTTGGATACATCGAAATGTACGCTAGGTATGTAGCTACAGAATACAATTTCATCATCTCATCATCGACAGCATGAGATTAGTGTTCAACACCGATGCTTCACTGCCGTACAACCATGATTTACTTGAAAGCTTTATTGTGAGGGAAAGAATAAATATGGACGGGGAAGGAACTTATTGCTAGCTTACTACAATCATTCCGGGGTGCCTTTCACTTCCAAACTTCACTTCCAAACATTCATTCAGGCAATCTAGATAGAAAGTGACAGCAAGATCGCCACTGATATCGGTTGGCAGCCATATTTTGCAGTGTCTCCAACCAGGCGCAGTGAAGATCACGCAGTCTCCATCCTGGAAGGCGAGTAGCACAGACAGCACCCAAACGTTTCGTAATCTCTTTCATACCCCTTGCCAGGGTTGGCCACTTCTCTGCGTCCGTCACTCTGAGTTGAGCATGGAAGTCTTGCTGAGGCTGCAGAACCGTATGGTGCGCCCGAGTTGATTGGCCGCAAAACATGCACTTCAAACAAAGGGGATGGCTTTCAGGACTACTGTCATCTACTCGTGGCTATACGGTAGCACGAAAAAGCAAACGTTTGCATCCAGTCCAATATGAAGAAGCTGCCTTCCAGCCCCTATTCACACTATCATCAGCGAGTAACAACTCATGCCGCTAGAAACACTGCACTCTGTTACAATAATCTCCTACAGGAAGCCACTACAAGGAAATATGGTACTTAGTCTCACCTGAGAGCGTGTACTAGGTTGTGGCTGACTGGGAAGGCCGATGCCGACTCTCCAGGAGAGTAATCACACTTCGGAGAGGTCTATTATAGGCGATTACTACAGTCTATACGACTTATTTTATAAAAGGCCAGTAAAGAAACGGTTTATCAGACTGCATCATTATTAGTGCATGGCAAACGCAAGTTCTGTCTTTATTGCTACGGTAGAACTAACATGTATCCCCACCGAGAGCGTGATTATCAAGTGGATTAGCGGCAAATCAATTGTTGGCAACGGTAAATTTAGTTTCATAAACAGTAGGTTTGTTGCTATACGCATACACCATATGCAATAAATAACGGTACTTACAAGCCAGGAGCACCCAAGTGTTAGTTGAAGCGGGATTCGCAAGTGCGATCGGAACTAGCGCGAGGAAATATGCACGCTTACAATCAAGTTCAACCAGCGACAACGAAAAAAATCATCGGTGGTTGAATAATCCTTTAATTCGGCCATGTACATAGCTGGATGTATAATAGTTGCTCGGATGCATTCTGGATAGCTGAATGGTGGCTATACGTCCAAAATAAAAATGCTAGACCACAAAAAATTAGTGAGTGAGTGCGATGGATGGAAGAAGGCGAGAAGCTAGTCACAGAAACGAATCGCTAGATAGGAGTGTCCGAAAGAACGGAGCAAACGATGTCGAATCGGGTCATATGTTGGCTCAGGTGTTGCACTTTGCGCTATATCCGAGGGTAGCACCCCAAAGTCTGTACCAATCGGGCGCGACCGTCCCCACGGTGATTCCACCTGCAAAGGGGTGGACGGCACAACAAAAACCAAATCTAGATGATGTCCGTCTAGATTCGTGCATGTTGGCCGATGAAACTAGCACAAAACATGTACCTGTCTTACCTGAACCCTGCCAACCAGTTCCACCTTGCCATTGCCATGTTTCTCCAATACCGCGCCAATCTCGAACTCCGATGCAAGTCTCCACCTCGTAAACATAACGCACAACTTCAGGCCACAGTTGGGCGAGGCTGAAAAACGAGGAGGAAGAGTTTTAAAGAAAAGCGAAGACATGGGTCGAATTCCCCCGCAATATAAGATGGGATCTGAGGAACTATGTGTATTGACTGCTCTGTGGCTTACTGAACACTACAAGGAAAAAATGGCCTTATTGGAGGGTGAAATTTGCTTTGAAAGTTATTGAAAGGCGCAACTGAGAGTTAGGGGTGTATGCGCTTTGGATACCTGTCCATAGTAGCCCTTGTTCCTCATCCCTCCCCTCTTTCGTCCCTTTTGATGTGATGCTTTCTGCAAAATGTGCAACACAGTCGCGTACGGGAATATCAATGGCCAAGAGTGGCTTAGATTCGGTTACAGAAACCACACGACTACATGCTACCGCTATCGGTACCGAAATACTACGTTGAACACAATCTGAAATACCTTTACAGGACTATAGCTCGCGACCTTTGGATTAAGAGACACTAGCTCAGAGTACACACATAGACCGATCCTTCGCATCTTTGTTTATTGGTTTACAGCTTGACTACCCTCACTATAAGCAGGGCCTAGTTATTGCTACTATGGGTGGAACGTCTATATCTCCGAGATGCCCAAATTCTCAGCAGACTAGTACACGGATGTGTCAGAATGAAGGTCTTATGCCATCGACAGAAGTACACCGGTAATACAGACAGGTTCTCAAGTGCCGTAAGGAAGACCCGGAAATCAAACCCGGAGTCCCTAATTTGAATTGGATCCTGAACTGTTCTAGCGAAGGCTATTTTGAAGGCAACACCTTTTAAGCCACTATGGACCGCGCAGGTGAGGATTCAATTAATACTGGCCGATGGACATCAAGAAACTCATCCAACGAATTGGAAACCACGCCTTCATGCGCATCCGTTTAGTGTCCACTTTGAAATCAACTCCCAACGCCTAACGTCAGATTTGCGTTCCGTTTTGTTTGGAAAGACGGAAATCACAGAACACTGCCCACTCCTCACAGCGGGGGAGGGAGGAGCGGAGTAGATATGGCTGTATTAGTGAAACTGACTTACTCCTGATGTTTTTGACGCAGATTGTCCCGAAGAGCGAACACTGGCACATATGGTGGTTGATCAGGGTCCACTTCATTATCTCGAAGCTGTTGCTGTAGCAAGTCTACAAAGGGTGCGAAAACGTTGGTCTTTCAAACGAAACTCAGAAAAAGACTTTTCTTTCATCGAGAAATATGCGAAAAAGATAGCAATAGCTCGAATCAAAGAATATCACACAGTCAGCATACTGGTTGACTTCAGTGATGAAACGAAAACAATCCGGACACACCAGAATGCCCAACTCAAAGAAAGAACTAACGACTCGTTCACATCAACGCCACAAGCCTAACAATCTGACAAAACACAGGGGCGTCAAGCCACTGCAAAAAACGACCCGAGTCCTTCATCGATGGAGCCAGTCGTGTTAGGATACACAACTTACAATATTCAACTGGAACTAGTCGTTGGTACAAACCAAAATGCTTGAAACTCGTAGATTCACCCGACTATTCGGTTGGCTGGATGGACTTTTGTAATTCAAATCGCTGTTCTATTAACTCGAATACACGGAACACAATGCTTTTAAAAACTGAGGGCAACCAAAGTGTCCAGCTCAGAGAGGAAAAGGACGCTAAACATCTATTTCGTCCTAACTCTGGTTGGGCGTACAAACCAGCGATTGGCCTACGCAACCTGCACTTGCTTTTTATACAGACGCAAACCAAAGAATGAGAACACACGTTAAGAGACTCCCCATAAAAATACTACTAAAACAATACTATAAACGCAGGAATTAACATGCCTCGAGGTGGATTGAGATGGAAGTCAAATCAGATTAGGATAAACTGAAGGCTAACTAACAACATCATTGCCAACAGCACGTAAGTAGTAGAGTTTACATCAGCGGGCCTGACTTCTTTGCTCATCTTCTACAAAGACCGACGGTCACCAAACAGTTTTCGAAGCGATTTGATGAGGGTCAAAAGGGTTCGGGAGCCAAAATGGACAGACGGAGTCATCTTTTTACGATCCCAACTGTCCCCTACATACAACCCAGTTTAGTTTACAACATAAAACAAAATATCAATACTGATTAATGCTGTGTATTAGACCAAGGACAGTTCATTAACATGCGTTCATGAAACGTGTGTTCACCTCCTTTGGCACCGTGCATGTGGGACGTGTACTCGTGACTATGTGACTGTTGGAAGCCGTATCACCTGCTTGGACAGTCGACCAACCTCTGTGTTCGATGTTACTTTCAGCTTAGTGAGTGAGATTATACCGAATACAATGTGCCGTTTCATTACGTTGCCTTCGATTCAGCATGCACTAGTTTAATACAAATGGGTCCTTATTTTACTGGACGCCGCGATAAATGAACCTGAAAATTCAAAGCTATCGTTAAGCTTGTGCAAACAGTAAGTCAAACGGACAGTGATCTTTCTGTCCTAGGATACAAGGGGCCTCTTCCTTTGGTGGCACCGGGTTATGACCGACGGAAGACGCCATTGTAGGCTCTCTTCTCCAGGTGGAATGCTGTAACAGACCGGAAAAACTTGAAAACTTGTTTCAGCCTCAGCTTCAAAAACAGTGACCTTTCTCGTGCCTTTAAAAAACATTTGATGGACACTCATAATCGTGTGTACTTAGGTATTTCTCCTGCTGCACATAGTATAGGTTGACCTCGACAGAATGTCAGGTATCTCTGTCTAGGTAGAGCGTTCAACAGCGATAACCCCCTATAATTAGTTAGCTGTCTCAGCTGAATTTGTAAGCTAAAGCAAGTGACGGTTAAACGTGAGTTGGAGGGAGGGACACATAGGCTGTGGCCGGGAGGTCTAATCGTGGTCGCGAATAAACTAATCAGCAACCATCATTGCCTTGGCTCTTGGAACACTAATGCAGCAATAACACGTAGCCACAATTTCAGCAGGCGGACAAAAAGAGATGTATTAATCTGGGATATTCACAACAAAGACTTGCGATTGGTTGGGCGGTGCACCACCCACCACCTTGTTAGATTTGACAAGAACGGCGAGAAGACCGAGAAAGAGGTGCCACTATATCGTTCACATTCATTCCATTACGGTTTGGACAATGGTTGGCCTGTGTGTGCGGCCAAAACCTCCGCTTACATATGGTAAAACTGTGCATGGAGTTTCATTCTATGGAGGTGTGTGGTAACGATGTCAAATTTCCAAACGTACCTTCTCTGGCTGTGGCCGGGAGGTCCAATCGTGGTCGCGAATAAACGAATCAGCAATCATCATTGCCTTGGCTCTTGAAACGCTAATGCAGCAATAACACGTAGCCACAATTTCAGCAGGCGGACAAAAAGAGATGTATTAATCTGGGATATTCACAACAAAGACTTGCGATTGGTTGGGCGGTGCACCACCCACCACCTTGTTAGATTTGACAAGAACGGCGAGAAGACCGAGAAAGAGGTGCCACTATATCGTTCACATTCATTCCATTACGGTTTGGACAATGGTTGGCCTGTGTGTGCGGCCAAAACCTCCGCTTACATATGGTAAAACTGTGCATGGAGTTTCATTCTATGGAGGTGTGTGGTAACGATGTCAAATTTCCAAACCCGAGCGGCGGCTTAAGCATTCCAGTCCCCATAGATTTGAGATTTTTTGAATAACCCATCCTCAAATGCGTTCTAAAGCTTCCGAACAGAATCTTGAATGAGGCATCTAGTGAGAGCCATAATTAGACAAAAGTGTTGGCACAGCTGATGATAAAAACCCGGTGGAATGAAGCAAACTATTTCAGATATGATTGGTTTCTAGGCAAGACTATTCCTGTCGTCCATCAAAAAATATATCGCATGGGAGGGGGGTATTATAACACTTACGCACAACTTCAGCAACCAAGTCACGAATGCGTGCTGCTTTTTGTTCCAGCATCCGCAGTCGTTTCTGCCGGATCCATCGGAGAAGAAACAGAATACCGATCACTAGCACTAGCGTCATAACTGTCCAGAACACCGTCACACACATCTGGGCCAACCAACTGACCCAGAACCGCATGCGGCACAGCCCGGAGAAATACGGCTGTATGCTTTCCAGTTGCACAACGTCATTTGGTCCAGGGGTTGGCTTGCTGCGAAGCAAAAAGAAGATGTTGTTCTACTCAGTTGGTGTTTTACTGAGGCAATGTCACATCCTGGGGACAAAACCAGTGTTTCAGTGGGCGGTGGGAGGCCGTAATTTCTATTTGACCAACTTTTTTCCACAACTGACTTCCATGGGACCATCAACCCTCAGTAAGGAGAAATAGCACGGATTTTCGCTCAGCATTTTGCCCCCCACTATTTGGTCTTCAACCGCCATTGCCATTAAGAACGTTCGCCAATCTACTCTCCCCCTCAACACATCAAATCAAGCTGGTCCAGAATCATCATCATCAACAGCATGACATCAGTGCTCAATACCGATGCTTTACTGTCCTACAATCAGGATTTAATTGAAAGCCTTATTGTGAAGAATGAAGGGGGAAGGGACTTAGTGCTGGCTCGCCTTATTTTAAAGAAAAGAGTAAAGTTGGAAAGGGAAAAGACTTAGTGCTAGCTTACCACAATCATTCCGAAGTACCTACACCTCCAGACACTCACTCAGGCAATCAGGATAGAAACTGACAACAAGATCGCCACTGACATCGGTTGGCAGCCATATCTTGTAGTGTCTCCAACCAGGCACAGTGAGGATCACGAGGTCCCCATCCTGGAAGGCGAGTAGCACCGACAGCACCCAAGCGTTTCGTAATACCGTTTATACCCCTCTGCCAAGTCAACGATTGACCGCCCCTCTGAGTTGGGCATGGAAAACAGACAGCACTCTTCGGCAAACGATAGTCAGGCATACACAACACATGTCCCAACCAACGCAGCTTCTGGTGCTGGACACATTTTTCTATGGAAGTACCCGTTGCACAACTGAAAACTTGCTTTCTAACTGCTTCGTTGCGAATACGCCGATACCGACCTACACGAGCAATGGTTTTGAGAAAACGATTGTCGAACACCTGAAGACGTGTCGGTTCCGCTCCTCCAAGTCCCACAGCCATACAACAAAACAGCAAGTATTATAGCTTGATACACATTTCCCTTGAGATTCACGGATACACCACTCTTACGCTTTAGTTGTCTCAAATGCGAACGCGACCCGGGCCTAGCATTCACCTCATCTGCAACACTACAATCAGAACTAATACAACTTCCGAGATACGTAAAACGCCCCACAACTTCCAATACGTCTCTCTGGACTGTAAGAGGCGTGTTCAGTGACTGCATGCCAAGGAGCATGACCTTACACTTCGTGGGTGAAAAGTGCATACCAAAGGACAGGATGACTTTGATTAGTTCATCTAAGGATACTTGCGCCTTCTCCTCTTCTTCGAACATGAGAACGATGTCGTCTGCATATTCCAGATCGACAAAGTTTTCATTACAGGCTATTTGGACACCTGGGTTTTGGAGACTTTCCAGCGTTTGTTTCATGATTTCATCGACCACACAGTTAAACAGGAACGGAGAGAGTTGACATCCCTGACGGACACCAATTTGTGTACGGAAGCTTTTGGAGATCTCGCCGTATAACCTCACACGTCCGGAATGTACTCCAGCAATTGCGATCCGCCATTATGCCCCAGAACTCGTTCGTATCGTTCTTGGCCTATCCGTGTCCACTAACGCCTTGTCCTCTCCCTGGAGAATTCCACGTGCATTTCCTAACTGGAAAGGTGGATCTCTTCGTGTTCCACTTGATAAACCTCCAGTTTATTCAACGTTTTGGTGCCCAGCTAGTGTTGATGCAGGCTTAGCGCGTTGGTTGTCTGATCTAAATTCCTTTAGTAGGACTGAAGTGGTTTTCCTGGACCATTCGAAAGCCTTTGATTAAATAGGGCATAAGCGGCCCCACGCCAAATATCCACGCAGCCCCATTTGATCAAGTGGCCTCAACAAGCTCGCTTAGAAAACACTTTTTCGACTGTACATGATCGAGGATGAAGTACTCCATGGTTGAGTCGCGTCCCGCTCTTTTTTCTGCTGTTCATCTGTATCTAGTTGCCTACAGACGCCTGCTGACGATGCTACCGTGCACAAATCCAATAAACTCCAAGCAGTCCACGTGCAGAAGGACAGCCTTGTACCCATTCACTATTGGGGGTTCTCAGACGTATCCAGCCCTATCAAATCCCTATATGTTTTCCCTCGTTTTGCTGTCTCACCTACAACAAAATCAACAACCTGGCAACTTTCCCTGGTTGTCTCATGTCAAACAGGTAGCGGCTCAGACCTCCCGAAAAGTCAGATGTCCACTGAATTTCCGTGAACTATGAAATACAATCATTCAAGTCCAACGAAAAAAATGCATGTCCCATTGCTTCCCATACCCTTACCGATGGCCTTCAACACATTTTCCACCGTCCAACTCTCTTTATCGCTAACAACACGACAAGGGTTCTAAACTCCCGCCTCCTGTTCCCCCTTCCGAGTCATTGGCTTGTGCAAAAGACCTTTGCACGATTCTGGTGCAAACCACGAAGTTTATTTCAACGCGAGATTTCGTCGTTTAAGTGAATTCAATCTATACCGAGAAGCACTCTAAAGCATTGTAGTGTACATCTCGCGATTCGCCAGGACGATTTTTACCCGCGACCTCTCCTTAGGGCACTAACACAATGGGTACGAAAGCCGAAAAAAGTACATCTGGACGAGGATATAACCTGAAAGCGATAGACACAAGTATATTCCGTTGCAATCCAGACTGTCCGTAAGGACACTGGTGAAATGCGGTCCATGCCAGGAGAAACCGTACGGGGCAAACCGTGCTACAATTCTGAAACGTATACTACAAATCTGCATGAGAAAAACCAGCACAGAAACATGATTTACTTGAAGACACGTCCACGGAGCATCTAGTGATGAACGACACTTGGCAAGATAGACAGTTGTGCAGGCATGAATAAACCTGGTTACCAGAACTACTTCCACAAAGTACGACCAGAAGCAACGAAGTCGAAGTCAAAAACCTGTTGGTATTCTTTTCTCTTGGTATAACACGAAATATTCAGCTGGAACTCAGTTGGGTCTCCTGTTAACACCATCTCAGTTTGCCATTGAGCGCATTTCACCTGTAGGGAGTTGTTTTTATCTCCACTTTTCTAACATCCCAAATGACCTACTCGTACTGGGAAACACAGAACTTACTATGGTTTAGGTGAGGGAGCGTCATTGGAGTAGGGTGCCAGTCGGCAGCGGAGAGGTGAATGGCGGAATTGTGTGACCAGAAACCAGTTTAGTTAGTAGGCTTTGCGTTATTCAAGTCGTTCAGCTGTGGTACCCTTTCTGTACCCAGCTGCGTGCCAATGGAATGAGTCTTGAGGGCTGGAATACTGTCAGGTTGCCCAAGCTTAGGCAGGAGTGGTCGAGATGCTGAGGTTGGGTTTGAACCGCAGACCTTCCGGTTCTTGGGCTAGCGCCTAGACCACTGGGCTATCTCAAGCCCCTTGCAATAATGCATGAGAGCATGATTTGGAAAAGCGCTAATGTGGAATCACACGATTTCACGACAGCTCATTCCGCCAGCTACTGGTATCACACTAAAAATACAGGTTATCATCAGTCTAGGTCCTATCCAATCTTGTTTGGGGCTCGCGAAACAGTAAGCTGAAACAATAATTGGACTGTTCAGCATTGCCCATAGACTATTCATACCTAATCAAACTACTAACAGGTGTTACGATCGACCAACGATCGCGCGAAGTTAGGTTGCCCCATCCACTTAGTTATGACAGTACACAGTGAATGTAAGCGAGATTCACTATATATCATTGGACGATGCAGGTGCAAAAATGCGAGTTCCGACAGCTCGTGAGACTGTGGTGTGGACACAAAAAATCTGGTCACATAAACAAACGAAAAAGGACACGGGCTTCATGTATGACGTTCTATCATGAACGAAGTAAGGAAGCGAAACAACACGCTGGATATTACAAGCCGTAGAAGAGCATGAGGAATTTTTCACCTTCTTCCCATCAGCTTCAGAAGGGTAAGGTTGACGTTACAACTATCCAGGTGAAAAACAGTTCATGCTGTGCTTCCGTGGGTACCATTACCTACACTTGTCTATCCCCCGGTGTTGTGTTTAGCCGTAATTCGTCTTGTATTCTTTCGAATTGGATTTTTCACGAGGAATCTCCTAGGTTCCATCTTCCCCTGTAAATTCACGTTCTGGTAATAAAAAAATCCTCTAGAGCCGGCGATTATAGCCCCCATACAGTGGGTAACAACGAACATTTTCTGACGACTGACAAGCTGAATCCAATTCAACCTTTCGGTGCAGTTAGGTTCCAGGATGTCCTGGACCGGTTATCAGTTTGATGAAGCTCCTTTGGTGCGTACATACGGCTAGTTTTCTGTTCTACCTGCCTACATGGATCCACATTCACACACAGACGCAGTTTAAGGTGCCCACAATGGCTCTTCACTACTGATGGATTAGACACGCTTGCATATGCTTTTTTATAGTGCGATGAGGTTGATTACTTGAGACGTGCATTGCATAATAAGTGATTTGGGTTGAGAAGCCGTCATTCTCTAACGCAATCGGAGTGGGTAGCGAAACCGTAATTTCTCACGTCCCTCGAGTTTGTCTTAAAGTTGACTCATCTACGCAACCATCACTTTAAAAAAAGTGGCTTGTTTAAAGAACAAATTAGTCCATCCGGTGAATATGGGCCTGAAGGCTAACTTAAGACGAAAATGTTACAAGACAGAGAGAGGGTTTACGTGCATCGAATAGGGGGGAGGGCAGAAATGGAAGATGCATAGATTATCAGTATCACCACTAACCTTTTCGGGTCCAACTCATTCCCATACAAATCGTAAGCGATTAATTTGAAATGCACTCGCCCCACATGAATAACCACAAATAGGACATTGCGCCAAATATTGGGAAAGGATACGTCGCGATCCGGAGACGCCGTATGAGTCTGCCATTCATGCTCTACTAAACGCATTGCAGCCGAGGAATACATTCGTGGGCTGTCCAGCTTCGTAGTGCCACAGTGGTATTCACCTTGGATTCGAAAGATAACGATAGGAAGTCACTAAGGTCAGTAGGACGACGGAGAAGATGAGATTAGAAGCAAGCAGTGGTAAACTGCATCAATGCTATGAATAAAACCATCTCTGAGAGTGGATGAGCAAGGATATCATTGAGGAACGTTCCCTGGATGAAGATCATCCGCGCCACATCCATTTCTACCACGAATATGGGAGCCACCATATCATTTCTCACGCGGATGAAAGTATAATCCATATCAATACTAGTCAGAGACCAAACTGTGTGGTTTCTGAGATGCGTCAACTATCAACACTCGTAGATAGCGAGCAGAGTAGACACAAAATGCCAGTGAGCTATATGAACGACATGAAAGGTACAGACGATCTGCGTGCAGGTGCGACAGTCATCGATCTGCTGAGGAAACATTGGTGGGACTTGGATGAAGTTGGGAACCAATGAGACGATAAGGAGCGGCGACAGACACGTTCGCACCGATTGCTATATCTTTGAGCGGTACAACGGTAGATAGAACGTAAGTATTCGCGACTGTCTACGTCCAGAACCGACGGATTTAGTGTGGGAAATTAAGACCTACAATAAACAAGTCAAAGATCGACGGTTTATATGGTTGTTAACCAACTGTTACCTATGGTGTCGTACAGATAAAATCGCAGCTTGATACATTAACCCAAGGAGCAATTCATTCCGGCTAACACCGCTGGAACTTGAAAACACTTGTGAGAGATGATATCTCAACGACGTTCCCGAACACAGTCATTTAGTCTTATCCAAAGATCGCCTGCAAAACACGAAACACTATCTGCGACAGCTGAAGAACCCAGCGTATCACGAAAAACTAGATGCATAGAATCGCGGATGTCAGTTGAAGAAATGCTCCTCAACCCATAATATATCACCACTGGGAGTGTCCATGTAAGAAAAGCGGCTGCGCTCTTCACGTCCTCGAAAATCAAGAACAAACCAAATGTCGAGGGAAAATACGAGACGCGTCACTTCACACTAATCAAGGGTAGTGAGTTCAGGTCTGCTGATGCTACACCATTTCTTTCAAACGTCTTTGCTCTAGTAAACGTAGATGGAAACATTCTATCCAAAAAAAATTTCACCAGAATTCCCACAGGAAATTCAAGCTTCAGCACGTCAAAAAACAGATACCCGAAAAGTCCTTCTAATGGGGCAACTTGATCAAGTCTGTTTGGTGCACGATAAGAGATAGCAGTAAATTCTAACGCTACGTCTAATGTGAAAAAACAAACAAACCGGGACTTGAAAAATATACAGTCAACAGAAAGCCGAAAGGTCTCCTCCATCGGTGCGTTTTTCCGCCTATCTGGTAACCAACAACCCAACCCTGGAGCTTAGAGTGGCGAAAAACATAGATACCCTACAGCTAGCGGTACCTTCCCAGACGACGATGTGATCCGTCTGTGGCGCAAGTCAAATGACACACATGACTACAGTTAAGTAGCTGCTCTGTAGGGAGCATACGCCATTGTTTTGTGCTCAACCATATGCCTGATGGTTCCAAAAGATAATTGTGGGAAACGTTGTCTCAAGTGTAGAGAGTATTCTACTCTTGGCCAGAATGGCTTATCAAGAATGAGATAAGTAGGAGACAATAAACCAAAATCACACAGCCCACCTGCATAACGACTCAATATGTCGTACGCGGAGCCAAGGACAGGGAGCGCTTCATCCAAATCTCCTTGATGTAAACAGCCCTGAAAGAATATTATATTACCGCTAAAAGGATGATAGCTTACCATGGTCTCAAGAGAATTTTCTTTTCCCAGTTTCGCGGGGCTTCCACAAACGATTTTCTGAAGGTCTGGGTAACGCATAAGGTTGAAGAAAATAGTTATGGTTCCAGTAAGCAATTAAAACATGTCATAAACAGGATAACACAAAAGTAACCTCCATGAGACTACACCAAGTCATAAAAGGACAGTCGAAGTACATCGACACCCCACTGAGCCATAATATGGAGGAATACGAAGTACCCATGGTCTCCTCTATCAGACGAGTCAGAGAATAGAGGTCTGGCAGGCAGTATCGCAACTTACCAGGTTGGGGCTTCGAACAACTGTTAACCTATCTCCTTGAATTTGGATTACTGTGGTAGCGAAGGGCCCAACACCGCTGTCTACCAGCCAGTTTTATGAATTATAGGCTTTGTTTCAAGACCTTGGATTTGGATACCCCGTCAGTATCTCAGCCCGTAAACAACACGAAATACACGAGCGAGAGTAGGGTGATTGCAAATCGGCCATCGAGTGGTGATATCAGTCGGGTCGCCTCATTCCCTCACACGGTAGGGTGAATAGGCGAAATATCCCGCGGCTGCCAACGCCCCTGCCGATTCTTTCTAGCCATTCTTTCGTAAATTCTTGATGTGAGCAAGCCATTCAGACACCTACGAAA